AGTTGCACAATCCTTTTAATTATTAAATAATTTTTAGAATTATTAAGAATTTAAAATAATAATGACAACGAACGTCTTTTTATGCATGTGTCTCGTCTAGGCAGCATATGATCGTAAAGTTTGAAACTTGACATCCACGTTTTATACTTTTTAGAAACATTTATAAGAATATTATATTTTTATTCTCAAATAACCACAAATTTTATAAATATCAATATGCTGGAAGAATATTGATATATTGCTTATGAAAAAGAATCCATTAATTCTCAAAATTTGTTTAACCATTATTATTTGGATGTTATTAACCCATGAGAAATTCTATAAATAGACTTGCCCTTCCCATAATTAAAAGGAACATCCATTGAGGACCTCTCTCTCTGGGTATAAGTCTCAACACACTCACATTTGTTTCCACACAATCAAAATAACCTATTTACAATAAGAATCTATTTCTTCTGAGGCAGAATCAAAAGTTCTCTTTTTGAAGTTGAACATATCCATTTTAAAATATTACGCCCAAACCACATTTCTTAAAAACTCATTTGTCTGCTAACTCACTTTTAATCACATATTCTTTCAATAAATTCAAAAAAATTCTCTATTTTTCAACCACACATTTTTCAAAAAATCATTATTAGAAAATCCATTTTCACAAAAAATGGGGCTGAAACAATCTCTACGTATTTAACCAGTTACTATTTTATATTTTCGTTAGATATTACATGATTTTAGATAAAGTTATTATCTCGTGCATTTAGCGAGAGCATTGATTTAGTATATCAGTTTAAAAAAAGCGTGAACATATGTATTGTATTATATTATATTTTCAATTAGTTATTATTTTATATTTTCGACGTAAATAATTTTAAATAAGTTATTATATTGTGCATTTAGCACGAATATTTATTTAGTATATCAGTTCAAAATTGGAACCCTAAAATTTTATAATTTAACTGAGATATTGAATTTATTAAACATTCATTTTTCGAGATTTTAGTGGATAAATATTAAATAGAACCAAGCGTCAGCTACGGAATAAGATAAACATTTTCGATAACCCTTGTTGAATATTTTACTTACCACACATTTAAAATTGAAGAGATCACTTTTTTTTCCTATTCGATTTTCATTGGTATCTAGATGCATAATATTCATTTTATTTTATTTTTTTGTAACAAATGATCACCCTTAAAAGATTCTATGTAAAATTGAATTTATTTTCCAGGCATTATGAGTTATTGAAAAATGAAAAGAAAAGAAAAGAAAAGAAAAAAAAGCAAGAATAGTGACAACATCTTATCCTTAGATTGTTTTGGGACAGACTATTGATCTACAATTCAGAGTTATCTTTGAACCTTTTTAGAGCATGTTTTTGGCCAAGTGTGAAAAAGTAAACTTGATTTTCTTTTAAAAGCAGCTAAATAGTAAGATAAAACTTACTTTTAAATTGTAAAATTTTGTATAAAAGTTATAAAAAGTAACTTTTAAAGAAAATCTATACATGTTTGAAGGGAAAAAGTTACTAAAAATTAACTTTTAAAGCTTTAAAGCAATTTTACTTATTTATCAGTCTTGGCCAGACGACTAACAAAAAATATTTTTTTAAGAAAGTAAGCTTTATCTTAATTTATTTATTAAAAAGTAGCTATAAGTACCACCATTATTGTAACAATCATAAAAAATTTTACATGCAAAGAGAAACAATTTTTCTCTTAGCATCTTAATCCACAAATTTCTAGTGACTTATTTGATAAGTTGGACTCATCAACCCAATTCAATCGAGCACAACGTGTTGAGCTTGGATTGTATAAACAAGGCACTAAAAGTAGGGGTTTTCAAATGAGTGGACAGTGTTGGATCGACTCTTAAAAAATTGATTGGAATGATCCTTGACCGTCTATCAAATCTTAAAAAATGACTGTCTACTAACCAGTCAATATTGTAAGTCGAGTCGGTCCAAATTGCCAGGTGCCCAGGTCCATCATCATTATTGTTATTTTTCATTTTTTGAGATTTTAGTGCGATTTAAATTAAGTTGAGTCGGTCCAAGCTGTCAACATTTTTATTTATTTTTTTAACTTTTACTTCTAATTTTTTCATATTCGAGCCAATTGGTTGGTCCTCATGGGTTGTCGAACTAGACAATCAAATAGAGCATGGCTCGTTCATTATGATGGGCCAATTCGTGAACCGGCCAAATTTCGATCCGCTATTTTAATGGGGTAGGTTTGGGCGGCCCGAGAAATGGGCTATTGAATCTAGCTTCAAAAGAGAATATAATTGTTCGGATAAAATTATCAGTAGGATATTATTAGATCCGATAAAATGTGTGATTAATAAATGAGAGGCGGGCAAAAATGCAAAAAACTAATCAAATCAAATTGAGTCGAGTCGGTTTGGAATGATTTGAACCAAAAAGCCGGTTTGATTCGGTTAATCTTAACAATCAAAAAGTCGGTTGGTTGGTTCCGGTTTAAGCAATTAACTCATCAATTAACCAACCCAAGCCGTTAATACTTTTTTTTTTTTCATTTTAAAATTCATCTTATTATACTTAAAAAACAAAAATATAATTTTTCTCAAATAATTTGTTTACCATCCATGCTTTTTCAACCAAAACTCCAAATATCTAAAGAAAAAAAAAAGCAAGAAGAAGAAGTGTTTGATGTAAACTTCAAATTTAGATTGTAGCCTTACTTTTCATTTTGATGTAATTGTTTGTTGGTAACTATCGAATATATGTGATGATTTTGGAAAAATTGACCCTTTACCTTTTACATTATACATATTATTGATATCTACTATGCAAGCAATATATATATAGTCAGGCAATTTTTGATTTTTTTTTTTTTAACTCGCACCAATATCCAAACCAATTAATCAAATTGGTTTGGTTTGATTCTATTTAAAGTTTCAAGGACTAGATTAGATCGGTTTGGGTTGGAATTTACCTAAACCAATCAACTCGGTTTCGGGTTGGACTCAAAACCAATTCAATATGAACCAAACTTAGGCTAAATATATGGTTGAAATTAATGTTTGATTTTGACTTAATAGAAAATATAACTTTTTTAATAAGTTCTATACTAATAGACGAAAAGAAAAATCACTTTCCATGTATAAATTAAGTAAATGGACAGTAGCAATTGAAAATGATTTAGACCTTTTGCATGGACTATA